CTCGCGTGCGACATGACTAAGGAGATTGATTTTTACTTCGCGGACTCGTTCAAGGCTTCGGATTCACTCAGTGCGATCCACCCCGAGTCCCGATTGCCTTCCCCGGCCCGATCTACTCGCAGCAGCAGATCTCCTTCCGCGCCAGGCGTGACCTCGAGCCTGGCACCCGCGTGCAATTTCTCGCGATTGGGAAGCTTCGTGGTCTGATTTCCACAGCGACGCAGCAGGTTGGTAAAGATATGGGGCCCAATGATCTGGGAGGGCGCGCGTGCGTCCTCCGCGCCCCGGGGGGCCCCGCGCGGCTTCGCCGTTTAGAGCTGGTCACAAACGAGACGGATCAGCCGCGAGTCGCCGCCGCTTTTTCCTTGCGCAGTTTGCAGGATGTCATGCCTTTGCGTCTCTTCCGCCCCCGCGCGTTCAGGGGGGCATCGATCGCCTGAGCGCCTTGCAGCCTGTTTAGGGGGAAGGTGGCAGGCCTTTGGCTATGGGCGCAGCGCCCCGTGCAGATTTGCTTTTCGCCTTGTTGCGAGCCTCGGCGTCTCTCAGAGGCGTCCGCCCATTGAGTTGTGTGGCTCGATTCCCGTGGCCGATTGGCTCGAAGATGTGCCTCCCCCCCGTCGCGCGCCCTCTCTGCCGGTGCCCCGCTCGACGGTGGCCCTGGGGGCCCGTGCCCGCTGCCTCTGCTATCTGATCCGATCTGGGCCCGTCCGTTTTTCCCTTCTTCCCAGATGGAGATCGGCTCTTGGAATGCGTCTGCCCTCTTTGCCGCTGTTCGGAGTCGAAGTGCGAAACCAGCCCTTCGCGGCGCTCGTTTTCCGAAGATCGCGAAGCCGCTCGCGGCATTCTGCGCCCGGGGAACCCGCGGACATATTGCGGATATGAATGGGCTTCGGCGAGGGGCTCGTCGTTTGGAGATCGGCCACTCTCCGTGCCCTACGCTTGCCAGCGTTAGTGGGTTCATTGCATGTTTTTCAGATTGGTTTCGCTGAGCTCTTCGCCCCCATCTCGCCCCCCGCTGCCATCGACGGCCGCGTCCTCGAGCCCTACCTCTCGGGGGCCAACGGGGGCCTCTGCGCGCTCGACGCGCGCGTGCCTAGCGCGAACGGCCTCGCGATTGCATGTGCGAGTGCCGCCCTCCGTGGCCTCCTTCGTGCCCTTCCCTTGTTCCGCGAGCGTTTCGCGGCGATGATCGGCGACTGGAAGTTTGCTGTCTTATCTGAGGGCGGCTCCGTGCAGATGGCAGTGGTTTCCCTGGGCCCTGTGGCTCGCGGTTTGAATGAGGGAAATGAGGGATGGGAGGGTGGGGGGAGGGAAATGAGGCATGGGACTGTCGCGCGCGCTGCATGGCAGGATCGCGCCTGCGGTACTTTTGCTCCTGCCATTGTCACCGACCTCGCCATTGCGCGCGAAGTCACCGGCCACGTGAAGGCCGACGTGGTCTCGGACAACGTGCCGGCCGCGTCGCATTATGCCCCTCAAAGCATCGCTCCTTGGATTTCTCGGCACCGACTTTGTGCCGAGATTTTGGGTGGAGTTATTCAGATGGTCCGCGATGGCGTTCTGCGGGGCCGCCCTGCTGAGGCCAAGTCTCTGACGTTTCAGGTCGTCAATGAGGTTGAACGCGTTGTCAATATGACACAAGCTGATTCTGCGGGCCCCCAGCGTAATCGCGCCCTGCGAGCCTTCCGCGCGTGGCATGCTGGTGACTCTCTCAAGCTCGGCGTTGCCATCGGCGCGCGCCCATCTTTCGCTCTGCACTTTCCCGCTGGCCTCCAGGGTGCTCGCGTCGATTCCCTTCGTCTTCTCTTCCAGAGCCTCCGCGTCTCCTTGTTATCGGCTGAGGAGGGCGAGCGTAATCGGGCCCCTGCTGCGCGCCCTTCGGGCGGCGTCGACGACGCCCGGCGGAAGTTGGCGGCGCGGAGGGAGCTCTGGCCGAAGATGAAGAGGCGCGCCTGGCTCCCGGGGGCGCTCTCGGCATCTGGGAGGGCTTGCAGAGCGGGTTGGGGGGGGGGGGGGATGCCTGGGCGCTGCAGGGTCACGGGGTCGCCGTTTTTGCAGCGACTGAGGGCGGCGAGCCCCTGTGGCCCGAGCTGCTGTGCATCGCTCGGAAGTTGCCTGATGCGCCTTGCGAGGCCGACGAGAACTATCTCATGGACAACAAGTCGATGATTGGGGAGGATGAACTGATGCACATGATCGTGGAGGAGGAAGGGCAGCGTGCCAGGGGGGGCGGTTTTCCGCGTTCGGCCTGGGGGGTCCCCGGCGTCGGCCTGCCTCTTGTTGAATGCTACCTCGCCGCGTCTTGTGTCGGGGCGCTCGCGTTCGCGCCCCCTTCGACGCGAAGCGTGGCTCTATGGTTTTTCTCGCGAAGAAAATCCGCGAGCATGAAGTTGGCGAAAGGGTCATCGAGGGCCAGCGGTTGCCGGACCCTTCGGCGCGACCAACGCAGGCGCGAAGTTGTTTGCTTAGCCCGTCTCAGAAATGCTTCCGGGGTCGCGACGTGCTCGTCGGCGTGATGCATGCGGAACGCTTCTTTGCCATTCCCGTGTTCGACTCACTGGTGGTCTATTCCCTGCGGACGTCGAATCCGCCCCCCCCTTCCGTCGAGGTCTCCTTGGTCATCAATGCGTGCCTCTATCGGTGCCCCTCCCGCCATCCACCCCTTCTTCCGGAGCGTCTACCTGAATGGCGCTGCCCTCGTCTATATTTTGGCAGTGCTTTTCATTCTTCCCCCGTCGGCAGCGGCGCGCGGCAAGGGGGCCCCGCGTCCATGCTTTGCTTTGTTTTGGCAGTTGAACGCATGGCTTTAGGCGCGCCCCCCGACGCGCGTCGCACGTTGGCATGCGCTGGCGGCTTCTGCCTGGGCTTGAGATGCCTTCTTGATCGTCTCGAGCCCCTGACTGATTGTTCCTCGAGCCCCTGACTGATTCTGCCCGGGCCTGAGATGCCTTCTTGATGTTCAATCGGGCTATGGGGATGATTGATGACTGATTGTTCCTGTTTACGATCGTCTGCGTGAACCTCTTCAGGAGCTTCTGGATGACCTTGGGGCCCCTTGCCATCTCGTCGAAATCGCCGCCCGTCTCAAACATCATGGGATGTGGATTGGGTCTGAGGCTGAAGAAGTTGCTCTCTGAGAAAACATTGTCAAGTCCGGGAAGCGCGCACCTGAAATTCGTGACCGTGGGCATGGGTTGGCCCAGCCCGCTGCCCCGATCAAAACATTAGGTGTATCGCCCGTGTTTTTTTTGAGGTCCAGCTGCACGCGCTCTCTCGTGAATTTGACAAAGTTTACCAATCGTGTGCGCGGCTCTTATCTGCCAGTCCTAACAATGCCCTCGCCTACGACGCGTGTACTAACCTCGCTATGTCTGGTTTTCCAAGTGAATTCCCCTGGCTCTCCATCATTGCAGATGCTACCCGAGCCCGTTATGTTGCTCGTTGCGGCGAATTTCCACGCGTCCGCTCGGTGCTTTCAGGTGTCTTGGCCGGTGATTACTGGTGCCCGCATCGTCAACTCACTGGCAGGTGCACCGCCAGCTTCCCCGCGCGCCTCAAGAGATCCCCGCAAAAGCAAACACCGCTTCGCTCCCATGGTGGATTTAGTTTTTGATACTATCCGCTTTTTGAGTCTTCGCAGCGTTCAAGACGGCCCGGTGGGCGCCCAAGAGGGCCCCAATATTGCCGCAGAGAGCCCCGAGACTGCCCACCAGAAACCCAAGATGACCCCAAACAACTTCCAAGAGAGACCCACGACCCCCAAAAACGTCCAAGAGAGACCCACGAAGCCATTGGAGTGCCCCAAGAGGGCCCCACATGGCTTCAGAAGACCCTTGGAGCCCCGGCTCCCTCGGCTCCCTAAGACGGCCCAAGAGCCCCAAAAACGCCCACACGGCGTTTTCCTACGAAGTACGCCGAGCTGACCCGACGATCTCGTTTCCAGCTTGAGGCTCAAGGCTTACATTCTTCGAACGAGTGAGACAGGCAATGGATCTAGATTCGAAGGTCGCCGATCGAAGGTTCCCTGAGTGCCAGGCATTCACGAAGCGTCCAGAAATCGATTTGTTCGGAACTACTGCGGTTTCTTCGGCTTGTCATGGGAACCCCCCTTACTTCCTCAAAGGATGGGCTCAACCACTGGAGGAGGAGGATGAGGAGGGAAGGATGAGGAAAAAATGGGTCGGGATAAACTTTGGAGGTGGCATATGAAAGACCAGGCAACAAATTCCTGTTTACCCCTTCCCATGAGGAACGGTGCTGAAGCAAAGGATGTTTTGTTGCTTTGTCGGGGAAGCGTCCAGAACAACCCGCATGGCGCCAAACGCCGATCAAGCTCTGTGTGTATATGTATATGTCGGTTTGTGTAATATACGCGTATATATACACATATGTATATCTATATACATATATTTATATAGATATATATATAGATATGTAGTGGTGGCGCATATGGATGTAATCCACATGTACGTGTACTTCGTTTCTGGAGTTTTCGTTGCCCGGTGGAAACTGCATGATGTAAGATGTCTGTGCGCGTGTCGGAATACGTGTGGCTAAGCACGGGTGGATCTAACTTCGAGTCGGGCCGGGTATGGGTGGGGCGGAGCACGAAGGCGTTTGAATTATGAGGTGGGGTGTGGATTGATGTGAGTGTGAGAGGTTTAATTCAACAAAATCTGGATCCGAACCATCAATGAATATGAGTAGGGTCGGGCGATATTGGTCGGTCAGCGAGCGAGTGAATCTTGGGTATGGGCGAGTTTGAGTGTCTGCGAGTCGGAGCGAGGGTGATTCTGAACGTGAGCCAGTCTGAGTGATGCGCGAGCCGGAATGTGAATGAGTCCGAGCGTGAGCGATGAAGGAAGTGAGGCAGCGGTTGAGGGGGTCAAGCATTGAAGACGCGCCCGTAGCCGCCGTAGGCCCGTCACCGTGGGGCGGCGGCAGTGTGACGTTGGGTGGCACACCGGGTCGCGCCCCGATCCGGTGTACCCCCCTCCGAGGAGTAGCGCCGTCAAGCAGGAGGACCTAGAGAGGGACCACGGGGACATGTGGCAGGCGGTGGACTCCATCTTTAGCGGACAGAAGGCCGAGAGCCCAGAGGTCATCATGCGGGCGCGGTTCACCGCGCTCAAGTTCAAGGACCCGAATTTCCTCGCGGCCACCGAGCTCGACGAAGACAAGAGAGAGCTCAAGGCTTCCTCTTCCTCTTCCCTCCTTTTTTGCTCCTCATCATCCTCTCCCTGTCCCGGCCCCTTCCTCTCCCCCTCGTTTTCTAATCTTCGTCTTTGTCATATCCCTCATCCTCTTCCTCTATCCTGTCAGCTCTCCTGTTTTCGGATCTTTCCTCTTCGCGTCCCCGTCCTCATCATCATCCTCAACCTCATCATCATTACCATCATCACCAGCATCCCCTATGATCATCATCGTCAGCACCATCACCATCATCATCACCACCAGCACTATTAGCATCACCACCAACCTCATCACTCTTCAAAATCAAAAGTATCATCACATGTTTCATCCGCACCATCAGCTTCATCTCCAGCCTCAACGCCAACATCAGGATCAGTACTATCAGCCTCCTGCTCCTCTGTATCCTCCTCATTATCATTATTCACATGATCGTCGTCATCATCAGTAGCATCAACATCATCATCACCACCACCATGATTACCATCATCATCACCATCATCATCACCACCGCCAGCATCATCGCCATCGCCACCATCGCAATCACCATGGCCATCGCCATCCCCATCACCACCATCATCATAGTCATCAGCATCATCCTCATAATCATCAGTACGATCAGTCTCATCCATGTTATCAGCGTGGTCACCACCACCATCCTCATCATCATTATCATCTCCGTCATCATCATCACCATCATCACCATCATCACCATCATCATTATCATCATCACCATCATCAGCATTATCATCAGATCACCATCATCATCACCATGATCATCATCACCATCAACAGCATCATCACCATCATCATCACCATCATCAGCATCATCACCATCATCATCATCATCGTCATCATCAGCATTATCATTCTTATTCTCATTTTTAGAATCCTCATCCACATCCTCACCCTGATCCTGATCCTCAACCGCATCCTCATCCTCATCCTCGTCCTCGTACTCGTCATCGTCGTCATCGTCGTCGTCGTCGCCGTCCTCTTCGTCGGCATCCTCATCTTCCCTCCCAGACCTCGATCTCTCCCCTCTCCTGGCTCCGCCCCCCTCCCGCCCGCTTCTCCCTCCACCCCTCCCCTCCCCCTCCACCCCTCGCTCCAAGTCGACCCCCCGATCTCTCCTGGAGCGCGCTCCGACCAGCCTGCCGCGGTGGACCCAGCCGGGGCGCTCCGAAGGCAGGCCCCCCCAGCATGCCCAGAACATCATCCTCCACCATCCCTTCTCCAAATCCCTCTTCCTCGTCCTCGTCGTCCTCCTCGTCGCCCGTCTCCTCCTCGTCCCCTCCTCCTCCTCCTCCTTCTCCTCCTGCTGCCCCTCCTGCCCCGACTTCCCCTGAGGCCTCGGGCGGAGCCGGGTCTCCGGAGATTCACCCCGGAGGCCTCCAGCGATTCTTCCGGGGGCCGCCACGGGGTCCGGGAGGCGTCTGAAGACCCAGGACTTGCCAGCCTCGAACGTATCCCTATCCCTAAGATTGACACGCCAAAAGGCGATGGCAATCTTGGGGATTCGCCCTCAAAAAATAGGGTGATCCCTAAGATTGGCATCGTGATGAGGAGGTGCCCAGCAGAGGGATAGGGATATGTTCCAGGCTGGTAAAGGACGGGCCGGAGCCGTTCAGTTGTTTCGGGCTTCGGTGCTCTGCTCCCCCTCCCGTACCTCCGAAGGAGCGTGCCGACCAGTGGGCGGTCACCCTCGGGCTGAAGGACAAGAGCCCCTTCGACTTCATCGTCCGGCTGGGCGATGAGGGCAGCCCGAACCGTCACAGTCAACCCGCACAGTAATGATGAGCGACTTGCCCAAGGTTGCCTTTGCGTCCTTCCCCTTTGTGCCTATCCTTGGCCGCTCTCGCTGGCCGCGCCCCGATCACCAAGTGTTGACATACTTTAAACGGAGAAGGTTAAAGGCGAGGTATAAATCGAGCATGTACCGCTGCCGTGCCTGGCTCAAGCCGGGCCCGGCATGATATGTGACTGTGCCTCACCGAGGCGCACTACTTGCATCTGAGATCGGAAAACATCCTTTCCATTGACGATGCCCATCTTACTCTTTACTCCAGATCCCATGCTTCGTCTCGCTCTCTTGCTCATGCGATATGAGCCAAAGCCTGGGATATGGGAGCGCCTAAGGCGGACTACATACCTAAGCTTACCAGCCTGTTTTCGACTTGGTAGCGGAGCTGGCTACACTCTCGTGTGGCTGGCTCTCGCTCTGATTCCTGTAATCCACGGCACAACTTGGTGGACTACTACTACGGTGGAATACCATGTTGCGCCGGCTCTGCGAGGAGCGGAGCCAGTCCGCGATCGAGCTAGCGGGGCAACCCGCGAACTCGAGACGCTCTCTCCTACTTCACTGCGCTACTTCACTCCCGACTTCCACCAGATGCCAATCGGCAACTCGATCGAGAACGTGGTCACCCTGCGGGGCTACCCGCAGCGGGGCCACCTGCATCCCGTGCCAGTCAGGCGCCTCACGGCTACTACGCCAGAGCCTGACAAACCACAGCCTAAACCAATCACCGAAGCCGAAATGCACATGCATTGGATCAAGATAACTATATTCGGCATTCTGTGGGTAATAATGGGATGTGCTGTGGGATACATGCGGCAGGGGATGGACGACACGCGTACTACTGGCCCTTCATGGGACCCTGCCGGTACTACGCCTTTTCGCGAATACGTTCGCGAAGTACATGCATGGTTAAACGTAACGAGTGGCAATATGACACCACCACAACAAGCTGCAGCACTACAACGAGGCCTTCAAGGTCTGGCTCGTCGTATCGCCATGCAGGTCCCCTCCCAGATCATCAATTATGGTGTAACTGTCAATGGACAGCCAACGGATGCAGTAACCTATATACTGTACTTACTGAGCACCAAATTTGAAAATCTGGAAGATGAGCGCCAGCTCAACTCTGGCACTGCCCTTATCGACTTCCGCGTCGAAAGGGGCGAGCGAATCGACTCAGTATTAGCTCGATTCGAGATGGCCCGTGACGAGGCTAACTCTGTTGGCTTTGTCATCCCCAACTTTCAGATCCTAACGCTGATTCTCTTCAGAGCGTTAGGCGTTGGCGCGTCACGAGCCCAACACCTGCTTGAGCCCTTCAATCATCAGATGCCCCGAACACAAGCAGACTATGACAGGCTGTTGACCAGGATGAGGAACTACGGACATGTTGCCGAGCGCTCTCCTGGTAACATAGCGGGTATCTTCACAGGGCACCACTCACATGCAGGTGTTTACGCCACGACTGCGGGGTCACCCGCTGGTCCTGGCGAGCCAAATCCCTGGGCTGACCCAGCCGATATGCCCAACGAGGCCACTGCCCTTCTAGGGCAGACCGGCCAGGTATCGGCAGAGGCAGCTGAGGCAAACGCCTGGTCGAACTACTCGCCAGGCGCCGCCTACACTGCAAGCCCGCCCTCGGGCACAACCCTCTGGGGCCAAGCGGAGTCATCCGCTCAATGGTCTCAGCCACCCTCACCGTTTGAATCTGGCACTGACACAGATACCTCATCTGACGATGAGCACAATGGAATAGTCTCTGCTGGTAATGACTATCCAGCGGATGACACTCACCTTTCTGAACAGCAAAGGGCGGAAGCCGCCTTTATGGCTTATCGCAAATCAAAACGCCGTTGGAGGCGCTTTATGAAGAAACCAGTCAGAAAGGTGAGACGTGCAGTACGCCGACATTTCAAACAATTTGGAAAGGGTCGTGGTAAAGGGGGTCGCAGACGCCGTATGCATGGTAGGGGTATTACTGCTTTCCTCACGTCCTTAACTGATATGGCTTTTGAAGAAGTTCTTATCGGAGGCAAAGGTCGGGGTCACAGGCGGACCTCCGGTAAGGGAAAGGGGCGGAGGGGCAACCCTAGGGACGCTTCTGGTAATACTATGAAGTGTCATACATGCGGTAGCACAGAGCATTTGCGCGATCAATGCCCGAAGGGGAAAGGAAAGGGATCCGTGCACTTGGCTCAAAATTCTTTTATGGATGACATAGATTACATTGACTACGAGTTTTACGTCAATCCAGAAGCGGCTCCCGCTGCGGGCTCCTCCACGTATTACGTGATGGCCCGCTATGCTGAAGCAACCGTGGCCCTGGAAGACTACGCAGTGACCCTCTTCGACGAGTTCCACGGCTGGGACGAGGTCGATGAGATTGCGTACAATGCTTGGTTCGGTCTTCCAGCGGGGCCACCCGCCGGTGACGAGGTCTCCGAAGCCGAGACTGTCCCGGCAACAGAGGAAGAACTCACCGCCGCGCTGGCCCCACAAGTGATTGGCATGCCGTTGCTGCCAAATCCGTCGTGGGCTGGCTCGGAGATGGGAGACGCCGATGACGAAATGCGGGGCCATCCCGCGTATTCCGACTCCGAAGAATCCGAAGAAGATTATAACGACATGCTCCAAGAGCAGGTTTCAGAAGCAATCCGACTCTTGAGTGCGCCAGCACAGCAGCAGATGACGATGAGCGAACTGCTGTCGCACCCAGGAGTTGCCCGTCTACGTCCATACTTGGATTCGAACATGTCAGCATCTCAGATGCTTACAGCACACCAAGCTCTAGCGGGGTCACCCGCCGAAGAGATGCTAGACACAACAGCGGGGCCACCCGCTTGGTCTATGGATGTATTCATGCAAGGTTGCGATCAAATGAACATTAACGACCTCTCGATGGAGCAGTTAAATGACATCGGATACTTCAGAAGCCCGTATCAAAACGGGTTCATGGTCCAGGACAGCTCAGAGGACTCGGAGGACATGCGGTACGCCAAGAGGGACAGGCGACCGTCGCCTCCCCGAGACTCAGAGCATGACGATCAAAGGCCAGTGACACGTGGTAGTGCGTCAGCGGGGCCAGCCCGCGGAAGGAGCCGCTCAGCTCCTAGACGCCCTACGCATGATGAATCGGGCTATCCATACAGCACTGAGCACTCCGCTGGAGTATCTGCTCAGCAGGTGCCGGATTGGTACATCAGATGGTACCCCGGCTACTCTATGGATACTCTTCGGCACTGGTATTCTAAGGAATACTGTACCAAAAGGGGCGAGACTGGCGCGATAATCCGTACCAAGGGCGGCAAGACCAAGACGCCAGAGGCCTGGGACAAAAGGGCGAAGAAGCAGGAGAACATCACTGACCGCAAAACGTACAGAAAGCAAGTATGTCAGTGTGAGCCCTTTAAAGGCCACATGCGCAGGTGTCCGATGGACCGCCCCTCCAGGAGCCCTCACCATGGAGAGACCCCGTGGAATTGGTCTCATGGAGACGACGCGGGCAACGTCCATGATCCGAACAAAGAGGTTCCTGGAGGAGGAAAGCGTATCACAGAGGCCGATCGCGTCCCTATGACCGAAGAGGTGGCCAACACCGTCAAGGAAAATTGGGCAAAGCTTCCCAATGACCACCGCCTCAAGGAATGGAACCGCCGATTCCATATGGAAGCGGGGTCACCCGCAGAATCCAGTAAGGAAGCGGGGTCACCTGCAGAATCCAGCAAGGAAGCGGGGTCACCCGCAGAAGCAGCACCAGCCGCTGGATCTGCGGACGAGTGGATAGACGTTGTCTCTGCTGCCGGGTCCGCCGCCGGCACTGACCGCACCGAGCTAAATGAAGAGTGGGCGGCGGAAGACGGCTCAGAGAATCCATTCCCTGACGGAAGCGCCTGCTGGTACTACAGTTCTTCGGCGCAGAAGTGGTTTTGCACGAGGGTAATCTACCGCCATGAGAATGGCAAGTACAAGCTGGCCATAAAAGGTACTGCCGACATCGACCAGATGAGGCAGATCATCCATGATCATGGCCAGCCAGAAGGCCCTCCTAGAGACCCTCCTGTCCACAACCGGGCAAGGGCAGCAGACCACCTCCAAGACCTGAAGCCGACTCCTCGTCTTCACCGACTCCTGCGAAAAGGCACCCGTCCAAGAGCCCCGAAGGCACACAGGGGCGGGCGAAGGCCAGAGGGATCGCCAAGACGGACGACCCTGAGCTGGGAGATCCTCCCGGTCTGTCCGTGACGGAGAGGAGGAAGGCTTTTGCTGACCATCGACCCCGATGCCACCGGCGACCCAAGGCGATGTCAAGGACGAAGTTCGCGACAAGCCTCAGGCAGCTTTCCGAGGTGACTGGACTCCAACTCTGCATCAGCCGCGCCTTGCACCACGACCAGGTTCGGCACGAATGAAAGCGCAGCCGAAGCCCGAAGCTGGATGAGGTCGGTGCGGGCAGAAGCGGCCGCCAAGGCTAAGGAGGACAAGGGCTCTGCGGGGCCACCCGCTAAAGCGGCGCCAGCCGTAACAGCGGGGACACCCGCAGAAGGCACTCTCTCCAGAGAAGAACGCTTCAGAGTCCTCAAAGAATTTGGCGACCAACAGAAACTGACTGATGATGCAGCTGCTGACAAAGGTCGCCAGAACCCTGGCGCGGAGTCATCTGCAGGAGCTGCCTCGTCAGCCGCAGGTTCTGCAGGGCCACCCGTTAAAGCGGCGCCAGCTGCATTAGCGGGGTCACCCGCCAAAGCGCCGCCGGCTGCACTAGCGGGGTCACCCGCAAGCGGGCAGCCAATAATGTCTGTTCTGAGGGTCATTCCTTTTGAATGCAAGTTGTATTGGCAAGGCATTGTAGACAAGGGCCCGAGGCAGCCCATCAACCCACGAGTCACTCCAGACGACACGGACCGATATGAAGTCATTAATTGTCCGGTTCGTCGTAATTTCAAGTGCCACAACGACTGGGAGCGCGAACAGCAGAAAGTGGGAAACATGCTGCGAGACAGGCCGCCACTACGCGCTGCGCAGCATAAAGAAGCACTCCTGAAGGTCATGACACAGAACGGCATGGATCC